AGTCGATATTCTATGTCTCATTCTTCTGAGTATTTCTACTACTGAGAGAGACAGACAGAAAGAGAGAGAGAGAGAGAGGGAGAGAGAGAGGGGGAGAGAGAGGGTACATGATCACAGTGTTTCAACTACATTTCAAAAATTAACTCATGCTGCCTGATGCTTTGGAAGTAGCTTGTGGTGCAAAAAAGGGTGCCTTTGCTGAATCCAGTTTCACCCCTTCGCTGCATCAGCAGGACACTTCCTTCCATGAAGCTCCATCCTCCCTCTTCTTTGGAGCCATTGTCTGCGTGACATGAAAAATGTACTCTAGAAGAAAATGTAATCTCTAATTACAGCAATGGAAAAAATCTAACTCTCAGGTAGAGAATGATTAAACACAGAAAAATAATTTTCAATAATAATGTTCCAGGCCTTTATTTTCAGGCAGAGTTGATTTTCTGCCTGTACACTGGGATTTCCCAGAGTCCTTTAATGCTTTTACCCATTGTCAATCCACAGGAAAAATCCTGTCTCCGAGTTGGCACTCTGTAGGAGAAGTCTGAACTGCGTGTCATCGAACTGAATTGTTCTCCTTCGTTTCTCTTCCAAATAGGTACACACTTCAAAGGCCATTTGCTTTAAGCTTCCGAGTTTTTGTGACTTCTAAACCCTCCTTAGATTTTCCTCACACCCTTGTATCCTCTTATCTCTGCCTCCTGGGTTTCCCCCCAGCATTTGCACACCTGTGCTCACCCACAGGTCCCTCGTGAGCTGGGCCCGTGCTTCTTGCCCGACATGCACGGCCTCTCTGCTGTTGGAGGCGGGAGATGAGCATAGCAGGAAGGCAGCCCACCGTGTTTTTGAGGAGTCCTCCATCTCTCCCATGGAGCTCCCCTCCACCCCGGCCCCAGCTCAACATCCACCCACCTACGGATAGTGAGGAAGCCCCTGCTGGGTTCCCAGCCCTGTGCTAAGGCTGAGGTGGAGGCAAAGACCAATCAGGTGTAGCTTGGCAAGCCTCTGGGTCACCACCTGGCAAATGCCCTTCCATTCAAGTCCCAGCTCATGCCACCTCCTCTGCGAAGACGTTCCTCACTAGTACCTTCCTCTCTATCAGAGTCATTTCCGTCAGAGTCTTATCCTGTGTTAGGACTCATGGGAAACATACGTTATACCCCACTCCTCTGATTTTGGAATCAATTGAGAAATATGCACGTGAGTGGAAGAGGTGGAGCTCCAATATCAGGGACACATCATTTGGGGTGACCTTTAAGTGAGCACATTACTCCCTCCTATAGGGCAGTCTAGAGCGGCGATTTCCGACCTTTTTTATCGCATGGCACACATAAACTACTAAAACTCTGCATGTAGCACACCGAAAAGTATATTTTTTGCCAATATGATAAAAACAGTATGTATAATTTTGATTCATTCACACCAAACAGCTACTGTTGTATTGGCTGTTATCACTTTTTTATTTGACAATCTAAGGGAAAAGAGGTCAGTGCCCCTGACTAGATAGTCAGGTAGTGCATGTTTTAAAAATTCTTGTGGCACACCGGTGTGCCTACTGCGACAGATCAGTTGAAAATTGCTGATCTAGAGCAATAGATGCCACTTCTTCCCCCATCCCAGCAAACAGGTGAGTAAGTCACTTCTACTCCAGGGAGGAGAGAGTCAAAGGGGGCGGGGTGGGTCAGAGCTTCATTTCCAGTGCCCTGGGGAAGGCTGGGGCAGAGAGTGAAAAAGGAAGAAAATGGCCAACACACACACACTAAGAACTGTAATTATCTGTGTAGAATTACGTCTCTTCCACCAAACTCTGAGCTTCTCAAAAGCAAGGAATAATATTTGTATAACAAAAAAAGAAAAGAGGAGAAAAGAAAAGAAACTTCCCTGGCTCTCACATGGGCTTTATTCAATAGATGTTGACTAAATAAATAGCTGTGTAATCCGAGCGTGGCCAGGCCCCTCCCTCCTGCCCTTCAGGCCATTTGCCCATGCTTGCAAGTGAGATAAATCAGCAACCTCAGCCTCCTGAGGTCTCAGAAATGACAAATCTTCTTGACCATATCTGGTCCACAAAATCTTTAAGGCCAGCCAGCAGCCAGTGGTAACCAGTACATTTTCAACTCTGTCTTGGCTGGAACCCATGAGGTGACTGGGAATTTGTTACCACCCTGCCCCGTGCCACCCCTCAGGATTTCCCTGACTCTCTGAGAGCAAAACACACAGCAAGCTACAGCTAAGTAGATCTCTCATAACAGTGCATTGTAGGAAAACCAGGCATCATTACTTTCCCCTTCTTCCACTACCAGAGCCTTAGGTGTTAGGCAAGAACGACCTACTATAAAGTTCTGTCTCATCATCTCTTCTCAATTCCAGCCTCAACCACCAGCCACAGCTCCCTCTGAAGCTCCTTGGATCCAGAGCTCAATCTCTTCTTCAAGAACCTCTAACTTTCCCAGGTGAGGAATAAACCTCCCGCCCCTCTCCCTCCACCCCCACCATGCACCCAGTTGCTTTTCCTGTCTAAGAAAGTCCAGCGACTCAGACTTGCAAGATTCCAAAGGAGAAGACTCCGCTGGAGTCCTGGGACAGGGAGGGCACAGAGCCTGTCTCCGGAGCAGTGGGAGCTACAACCGGCAGTTTACCGGTCCCCTTCTGAGGGGGTGCATCTGAACAGAGGGAACATTGCTTGGTAGTATTTTAAGATATTATTCAATGATTTTTTTTTCACTTTATATCTTTTTTTCCTATCCTCTATCCCCCAGTCCTTGCATTTAAATAGCTGGTAAGAACCTGGCAGAATGGGAAGAAAAAATGGCCTGCAAATCTTGCTTGTGTTTTAAAAAACCTAAGCACTTAAGAAAGAGGTATTTGTTAAGCATAGAAAGGGTGCCTGGAAGCAAGGTGAAGGGAGAATTTCTTACACTTTAGAAAACTTTTCCCCTTAGGTTTGGGTTGAGGTGTAAGAGGAGAGTAGGGAGGGAGGGGAGATGAAAGGAGGGCGGGACGGGAAAAGAAAGAAGAGGAAGGGAGAGAAATCAGCTGTTCTGTGGGTTCTAAGAGCAAAATGAGGCCAAGGCCTGGAAGCAACAAAAAAAAGCAGAAAGATTCTGGAGAAAAATGAGTGCACAACACATTGTGGCAGATGGAACTGGAATTGGCCTTGGCGACGATGCCCAGAAGCAGCAGAGAATCCCCACATCTAAGGGCCATGAGAACCAGGACAGTGGTGTTCACAGCAAGCCACACGTGGGCAGGCCAGTCGCCGAGGGCCACGTGAGTCCACAACTTGGTACCGGGTAACTCCCAGATTTGGAAGAACTCCAGGAAAGACAACGAGTTTAGGCTGAACCAGAAGTACGTCTGTGTGTCAGGGGGAGGGAGAATCAGAACCAGAAATTAAGTTATTGTATATTTGAAAGTTGCTAAGGGAATAGATCTTAAAGGTTCTCATACAAAAGAAAAAATTGTAACTTCGTGAGATGAAGGATGTGTTAACTGGCATTACTGGGGTAATCATTTCACAATATGTACATATACCCAATTATTACATTGTACGGCTTTAGCTTACATAGGATCAATTATATCTCAATAAAGTTGGAAAAAATAATAAAGTTTTATTTCTTGAACACTTCAACTTAAACATAGAGATTCATGCCTGGTGCATGCGGACTAATTTTTCTCAAAAAAAACCCAAAATACAAAAAACACCTGATTTCACATGAGAAGGCCTGTTCTTCTGTTAGCATGAATTTGACCTGCTCCTCATGGAAACAATAACCCTTGTGCTACTGTGAGAAGGTACACGTGACTGCTCTGGGGGTCTCCATCTTACCTGTGAACTGTGCTATCTAATAATGGCTCCTAAGAGATTTTTTTTTTTTTTTTGAACAGCAATCATTGCCCCAAAGAGAGAGTGAGAATTGTGCAAAATTACTGAATGCTGGTTCTGCCTCTGCAGTGGTCAGCAGGCAACCAAGTTTGTTCACGGGAGTTCAGGCCTGAGGACTGACCCCTGGAGCTTGCAAGTGGCGTAGTTCAAACAGCTGCTGATCACCAGCTGATTGTGCAAAGGTTATGGGACGTCTATCAATCAAGGTTAAAACAGCCTCATCAGCAGTGAGACAAGCGAATTACAGCAAAATATAGGAGGCTGTCCAGAGACAAATTGCCTTGAAGCCTGACACTCTTCAAGGCTGCAAGAAAGGAAAGGATGCGATTTAACCAAGAACTTTGCAGCATAGCTCAGTTGCAAAGGAGGGTGCCTTCGGATAGGGAGCCAACAGCTTGACCAGCCAGGCTTTCCCTCCCACCCCTGCAAAGAGGCACCCTTTTCCACTCGTTCACCTCAGGCCCCGCCTAGGTCTGCAGTGCTCGGCTGTGGGTCCAGGTGTAGGCTGCAGGTTCTTGGCTGAATGGCCATGTCAGTGACCCCGCAGTACAAGTGGCACCTGCAACAGATGCAGGTGAACCAGTGAAACCGTCTGACACAATGTCACTTAGGGTACTTGAATATAGGACTAAAAGTGGCTTAAACATGTCTTTCCACAGAAAACAAAATACAAAGGTAGGTGGTTCCAGCATTGTTTCGGCAGCTCAGCTATGTCACCGTTTTCCTGTTCTTCCAGGGTGCTGTGCTCAGCTTTTACTCCAAGTCTTGTCCCTCACGGTCAGAAGCTCTAAGCATCAGTAGCTCACACAACAAAGTCCACAGCAGGAAAAAAGGGACCAAGAGAGATAGTGTCCTCTCGTAGCTCCTTAAAGTTAATCAATTTTTATTTAAGGCAGTTCACATGTTCTGAATCCTTCCACTGCTTTAATCCCTCCTGAGTTTGAATCTTAACCCTTTTTAAAAATAATTGTTGCTCAATCCAGTTTTCATGTCAGTGAGTCATGGTTAGGGTCAGAGTAGATGAATCCACCTAGTTTCTCAATTTCAGGCACCCTAGAAAAAGAGAAGCATCGTTCCTATCAAAGAGTATGTCTAACTGAACACTAAGAAACTGTAGGAATACTGCATCAATAAAAAAAAATACCAGGTTTAACATGAACGAAGCCAAGAAAACCAATGATGCCAGACTCTGAATTTGTATCACACCATCCTTTGAACACCCAGCAGGAATAAACTGCTGAATGCAGGTCTCATCCATGCCATTCTCCCTCTTTTTCTCAAAAAGAAAACATACTTCCCCTCACATCTCACTAGTGGGGACTGTGTGTTCTAGAGTTACCTGAAGCTGCAAAGGAATCTGGGAAAGTGATCTACTGGCATTTTCAGGCTTTGCTCTGGGAGGAGAGCATTGCCAGCATGAAGGAAGCAAGATAGAATGTCTGTGACGTGGAATAATAAACAATGCCCGGCCCCATGCCTGTCTCAGATGATTATTGTGTCCTCTTGGCCCTCATCTGCCTTGACTTTGGACTTTAGGCAGCTGACTCCCTTTGGACTGGTCTTTTGTGCGTGTATCAAACTCCCAAATCAATCTCTCTGCCCCTGCTGCGGTACCATGTTCCAGACGACAAGCTCAGTCTGATGTTGAAGTGGATTCAACACCAACCAGCACTCTCAGGCTCTACTCACCTTATCCAGCCAGGAAACTGCTAAGAGAGAGAGAAAGAGACCTCGATTTGTGCCTCTGGCGCAGGAAGAGGTGGTGGAACAGGATGATGACAGGCACAGGAGCTTGTGCCCAGCCCCTCAGAATGGCGATCTCATTACTAATCACCAGCAGCCTTTGAAGATCTTTTCACTGAGGCCAGATTCGAAGGATAGGGTTGTGTAACAGAAAGAGCATAAGTTTCTCGGTGCTACAGACATGAATGTGAACCTCAGCTCTTGCCACTTATTAGCTAAGTGATGTTGAGAAGCCACTTAACCTTCTTGAGTCTTTGTTCCCTGAGCAATAAAACGGAATTATAGCAGCACCTCACTCCTAGGCTGGTGGAGAGGATTGAGTGAGCAGCTCCCAGCACAGTGCTTGGCACAGACTGAGGGATTAATAAACAGCAAAGATACCCACTACTGTCATGTCACTGTTCCACTGGGTCATCATTGGGAACTGATCCTGAAACCAGAGCCTGCGATCTAACCCAAACTCAGTCTCAGCTCTGGAACCCAGGGCCAATCACTGAATCTCTCTGTGCCCTAGTTTCATTATCCAAAAAAGGGAGGGGTCAATATCCCTGCCTGTCTATCTGCTTGGAAGGAGACTCAAAGGACAATCATATAGGCAAAGCACTTGGATAATTTTGGTACACGGTATGCATGTTAGGTTAAATATGTTAGGGCATAAGGAGTTATGTCAATTTTTGTACTCTCTGTTTCAGATTAGAGGAAAAGAGAGATGGTTATGGAAAGACTTCATCGAATGGCTAACACTAGATTTGCATCTTTACAGAGTAACTCCTCCCTTATCAAGAAAATGCACTTTTCCAGAAACACTTCGCTTCCCTTCTGGCAGACGGCCACCTGGCCCTCCTCCCCAGCGGCGGTGCAGGCCTCTGCGATGGCGCCCGGAGGAGAACATGGTTAGGGTCAGGCCGACGTGGTCAGGCCGCCTCAGTCCCAGTGCGGGCCCCGCTCTGCCGGGCCGCACAAACTTGGGCAATTTTCCGAGCTCCCCTTTGCTTCAGTTTTCTCTACCTCTAAAATGGAAATAATAAACCGACCTCCAAGGGATGCTGTGAAGAACAGCGCCCAGCACAGCATGCTCAAAACAATGCTATCAATTACCGCTGTTAGGAGCTCAATTAACTTTGATTTAATTGGCATTGTTATTGTGGCCCCGTTTTGCACACAGCGAACCAAGGTAACCAGTTGCTCTGGTGCTGCCCTGCAGCTCGGCCTTCTGTATTACTGCTCGTTCCATGGAATTCCACTCTGGAAGCAAGATTGATTTTTGGTGTGTGGGTCCTACTCATGTATGATTTTATTTTTCCCCTGGTGCATTTTAGAAACAAGGAGGTCAGTATTCCTTGCCAACTCACCTACCATTTCAGACTTGCTAGACTTCTCTCCATTTCCTCCATAAAAATAAAAGTGCTGTGCTCAGAATAGAATAGCATGTTGGAAAATTTCCCCAACAAAGAGAGACCTAATTGTGGAAAATAGGAGCAGGCCTTCAGGTTGGCACCCACTTGACCTAGACACAGAAAATAATGATGTCACCCTTCCCCACCCCACAGTGACGAGGAGTGAAACAAAGAGAAGGTAGCAAGGTCCCAATATTTCATTACAGTAATTAGAGGACGTGACCAATGTTCACAAAGCAGCTTACACCCTAAACCCCAAAAGAAACTCCCACCAGGAAAATACATCTCTTTCCTCCCCCACAGTCTAAAACCTCCTGATCTATCTCTGTTCTTTCTGGAAATTAAACTGAAGTTCAGATCCATTGTCCAGAACTTCCTAAGGAAAGAAAAATGGTTTTTGTGTTTCAACCATGGTAACCTTTTTCACTGTCTCTCTGAACACATGAATGGTGGCCAGAATCATGCATCTTTCCAGCCGAAGTGGGAGCACCCCAGGATGGCCGCCGCTCTCCGGGAACCTGCGGTGGAGGCATCGGCTCTGGCTGCTCTGACATCCCCCTTTCCAGAGCCTGGTTAGATAAACCCAACTCCACAGTCAGCCAGGTATGGACCTGAAGCCCAGCAGCACTGGTTTCTCCTTCAGAGCTCACAGAAGTCATTCTATGTGCAAGTTCAGAGGGGTTCACAGACACTAAAGAAAGCACTGTAATAACAAAAGCAGTCATTTTACAGTGCACTTACTTCAGCAGCAGGAGGCATGCTAAGTTCTTTATGTGCATTACTTAAATTACACCAGATCTCAACCTATGAAGTGGTTTCCCAACCATGCCTGAGAAAGCTAAGGCTTATAGAGCAAACGTCACTTGCCCAAGGTGGCCAGCTAGCAAGTGGCAGGGCCAGGGTCTGAATGAACATCTGCTCTGCCTCTGCTGCATCAATTTATCCACCACATTGGAACACCTAAGACGTGTCATCTAACAGATGCCTCATACTCTCTCCAGAAGATAGCTGGAGAATCTCATTCATTCAACAGATACTTCATCGAACACCTAGAATACTCATATGTTAGCCACTGCGCCAAGTACAAAGGATACAAAGTTGAACAGGAGGCTTCATATTCAAGATCTTACAGACAAAGAAATGATAGTCAATTAACAGTATGTCCTATGAATACAACTGGATTCTCCAATATGTTTCAGGAAATCCAGAAATAAAAGAGACTGGTGCTGACTTTCCACCTGGAGCTCTGGGACACTGGCCATCATGCAGATCAACCCACAGAGGACCAACCACTCTTCGAAGTGTCCAGGTCCCTGGGCCAGGGGCAGCCCTCCAGGGTCCTGCAGACCCCAGCAGCTATGGGAAGAGTAGACAAAGTCTCCCGGGTTCCAGGGAACGAGCTTGCTGAGTACGCAGACATGAGGATGAGATGCAGAAGAGACGGTAACGTGGTTCTGAGATGTGGGCCCAGGTTGCTTCAGCAAATACCAGTGCAAGGGCTGGGACAGGGGAGGGTCCGCACTAGAATCCCACAGTGCAGACCAGACATCTCTGTGGAATGCAGGTGTGAGCCCAGAGTGACCACGAAACCAGAGGCCTCCTCAGTGCCACCGTGCCGTGCTGTGGCCCCAACAGGGATAGCCTTGCCTTGCCAAGGAGCAGGCGGCGGGGGGGGGGGGGTGGGGGGAGGGAGAAATACTTGAATATGACCGAGCTTAAACCCAAGTTAACTGAGAAATCACTGAATTTTGCTGAGCTGACCTGGGCGTGACAAGATTGAGCTTCCTGCATCAGCCGCCATGGTGACTGGAGGTAGAAATTCAGTAAAGCTAAAGGTACATTTAAAAAATCTACATTTCTGCGCATGAGACATGTGAACCCAACCCCATGGGCTATAACCGTAGTTCCAGTGAGTGCTGACAGCAGCCTGGACTGGGGACTGAGGGAGGAGCTGGAGACAACTGGGTGGCTTTAAGGCTTATTTTAGGGACAGTATTTATGGGACACTCTGATGGGGTAGATTTGAAAAAGAGGGGTGCTAGGGGTTGAACTGTGTTCCCAAAATGTTCATAGGCTGAAGCTCTAACCCCCAGGACATTTGGTACTAAAATAGTTATGCACTCAGAAGGTACCTTATTTGGACATAAGATCATGGCAGATGTAATTAGTGAAAATGAGGTCATACTGGAGTGGGTTAGGCCCTTCATCCAATATGACTAGTGTCTTTATAAGAAAATGGCCTTGTGCTGAAGGGACTGTCCAGGGACCTGGGTCTCGAGGCCACAGGAGGTTGTCTGTTTTCCTAAGCAAGGCTTCACATTTCCAGTATTAAAGTAAGAATCATCATCGAGGCACCGTCGACACTCGAATGGCTCTGAGCAGCCCGATCCCGACTGCTGGCCTGGTACCTGCCCTTTAGCGGTGACACTAGCCATAACGGTTCACTGCCTCCTTGCACCTACAGTGGGGGCTTCATATACACCTGAGACCTGGGTGGAGAAAAGGATGAACAAACTGAAATTTGTTTTTGGAACAGATTCCATCATTTTCACTGAGTCTAGAAATGAACAGATGTGTAAATGTCAGCTCTTACATTATAACAAGATTTAAATAGAATAATAATACCAACCAGCAGGTTGCCTTAGAAAAGGAGAAAGGAATTTTCTCCCATCTGATCATAAAGAAAAGAAACACAGCTGTGTGAGAGAACACAGGTGGGCATTTCCCTCGTGAGCCCCGTGTCGCGGTCCTCTTGGTGCCTGTTGTGACGCTAAGGTTGGCCGTGCGTGCACACCTGCTGGCCTCCAGCCTTTCTGGTGGCACTGTTGGGACTGAGGCAAGCGCCAGGCCTACCCAGGGAGTAGGGCACCAAGGTCTTCTGGTGAAACTCCCAGTGAAAACAGTTTCCCTGCTGTGTGCAGGGAACAGAGAAAAGCATAGATTAAAACTTTGTCACAGAAGAAAGCATCATGTAATATCAGAGGATAAGATGGGAAACACTTAACATCTCAACAGAGAGAGCAGGATGCCTCTTCCCCATCTTGCCCCCGTTCCCCATCTTCCCACCGTTTTCTCTCCCCAACATTTGTAAGAACAGCTAGCTGCACACTAACATTTTGAG